ATGGGAAGGTGTTGTATTTCTATTTTTTAAATGCCAAATCCATCTATTTTTGCAGGAGAAATGGCCCTATCGTGGTGTCTTGGAAATGTTGCACATCCCTTTCCCAATAGACTAGGTAGACAATGCTTACCTGCCGGTGATGTGAGTCTTGACAAGAATGCCCTTGATCCTTCTGGAACGTAAGAACTTGGGAGTCTCCTGAGGAGCTGCTACAGGTCATTTTTCATTTGCCTACAGACCTCCCCTAGGAGGCCATCCTGAGATGGTTTCTCATCGCCTCTGGGCTTCTGATGAGGTTGAGGCATTTTGCTTCAACTCCTGACCCACTGCCGTCTTTAGGACTGAATTGCAGGCTATGGAACAGCATAATGCAGCTTGAAATCTACTCCTCAGGAACAGGGTAGCTGAACATCCACATTACGGTATCTGGCCCTTTTGTCTCAGTGTCATTTTGTGTAAGGGACACAGGGAGCTGGCTCCTTTAGCTGCTTTTGCTGTCTGTAAGTAATAAACTGAATGTAAAAAAGGGCTGGGTTCCTGATGGGCCAAATCTGCCAGCTTTTGTCTTGCATTGCTTGACAAGTCTCATCATCTTAACCTAGATATTTTAATTTCTTTGTTTTTAATGGTTTTCATTCATATGTAAACATCTGCTTTCTTATACTAGAGTCCATATAAATTGTACTCTAACTGTGCTTCACTTATTATATACAAAAGTCATATTGTGTGATCTTCATAACCGTAATTTATTTGGCCTCTGTTTTTGTATATTTAGATTTTTTCCAAAACTTTGTGCTGTTGTAAAGGCAGCATTTGCTACTTTTGCATTTTTCTAGAATATATAATGTTAAAGTTGGAATGAATCAATCAGTATTAACATGTAATTTTTGGCTATAAATATGCATTATTGATGTAACTTCCAAAAGTTTTAGTCAAAAACTTCCAAAAGTTTCACTCATCAGTGAGTGAGCTTGTTAATTTCCCTGCAGACTTAATTTTGTGATGCTTTTAAGTGTAAAAAGTTCCTGATTTAATAGATATTTCTGTTACATCTTGGCTATGTATGCTAAAGTGAAGCAGTATTATATAGCAGGCGTACATGGGCTAGAAATGTTTAAGTCCAGACTTTTCTAGATGCATGACCTCTGTAAGCCTCAGTTTCTTAAAGTTATAAAGCAAGGTTATAAATACAATGTTGTAAAGAATAAATGGAACATACACATTGCACATATACGTGTGCGTGTGCACACAGACACAGACACAGAAACACATCCCAACCACCTACTTCGGTACCTGGCATATAATAGGTGTATATTAAGTGATGGATATTATACAATCAAATACATTTTAATATTAGTGTTTGACAGTAGAGTAATAATTGGAGCACTGTTATAGCCAGTGTGTGTAGTGAAAACAGAAGAAATTTAGGATTAACAAACCTATTCTGTGAAACAAAGGTCATGTCTGTAGCATGTCTGAGAGAACTGCATAAAAAATCAAGTAAATTTGGTACCTGAAACAGTGCTCTCTCATAATTGGTTTCTTCCCTCTAGAAAATTGAGAAATGAGTTGGGCAAAATAAATATCTTTGAATTCATTTTTAAAGTCAAAAGCACTACTCTGCCTGCTGGCCTTCCCTGTAACTCATTAAACATATACTCACGGCCAGAGATGATTATAGATAGCTCCAGGGACACAATGATGGGCACGACCCGAATCTCTTCTTTTTAGGATCTTACATTCTGATTCTGAACAACCAAAGTGGTTCATTTCAGCTAATTTAATCCTGGTGAAAAAGAATGAAACAAGCTGAAAAAAGACGAAAGGGGACAGAACACTTCCGAGTCAGTGACAGCGGAAGGGCCGTCTTCTGGCTCCAGGTGCAGGGCCGGCTTGTGTTCCCTCATCTCATTCACAGGTGCTGAACTGCTGAGTAGTTCTCTTGCTCTGCAGAAATATTTAATTCATTGAAAGTTGTTATTGTTTGATATGTTTTCTTTTCCAGATAAATTTTAAAAGGCTCACTGCATCCTTGTGGATCATAAAAGTTCTTAGATATGATTTACTTCTGGTGAAATGATAATATATGACAATTGAAAATATTAAATTGAGAAATTATATACAATTTTTTTCTACAGCTGTTGTGGAAAATGAGATATCTATATTTGCTTTAGAGCCAGTGCTGTTGTTATGTTTTTGTGAAGCATATAATTATAATGTAGTAAAACATTTATGTAAAAATAGGGATGTTGAATAATCTTACCAGATCATCTTCAGGGTTTATCAAATCGCTTTCTCTTTTTAGCAAGTAAAATATCTCATGTTGTGGTAGAAATAGCAGCAAATATTTAAGTGATATGATGGGCCAACAGACTGAGCTCTGATGAAAGTCAAAGCAAGAAAAATCCACCCATGACAATTTTGTTAGCCTTGCTTGATAATTACAATGCTTTAAAAATTATCATGCTTTAGTAAGTGTACTGCTTAGCAATAATATGTTAGTGTGTTGTGACTGATATATAGTAATAAATGTTAGGTTAATGTGCATAGTTTGTTGTGTCTATTTTAAAATTATGAGTTGACATATTATTTTTTCTCTATTACCTGACCATAACATATTCTCTTTTTTGTCAGTGATATATGTGGATACCAAAGGAAAAATGATGTATATTATTATTTACTTTTTGTCTAATAGACTAGGGACTGGGTTATATTTTTATTCCACTAGACAGCATACCTTTTGGCAAATTAAGAGGAGGTCAGAAAATGATTTTTAAATGATTAAAAGTCTACATGAACTTCTGCACAAGTTGGTGGATTTTTATATTTGTTAGTCCATCATTTTGCTTTATTGTCTTGAGAGATTTCAAATGTTTGACTTAGAAGTGTATCTTACCACCTGTCAGCACCAGTGTTAAGGCAGTTCTGACGTTTTACCATCTGTACCTTCTTCAAGAACATTTTGCAGAAAGATAAATGTTAAAAAATTTGATCAGTCTTCTCTAAGGATATGTGTATGTGTGTGAGTGTGTGACTGTGTGTGAAGGAGGTAGTTAATTAATAATCCTTATAGAGAATTCTACAACTATACAAAATAATGAATGAGGAAAGAATATTTACAGTAATCTCAGCACCCATGTGTAGCCACTGTTAAATATTTTGCTGTTTTTTTCCAATTGCTTTTGTTTTATTTTTATTTATTGATTTGAGAGAGAGAAAGAGACAGAGAGATCAATTTATTGTTCCACTTATTTATGCATTTATTGGTTGATTGTTTTATGTGTTCTGACTGAGAATTGAACCCGCAACCTTGGTGTATTAGGACAGCACTCTGACCAACTGAGCTACCCAGCCAGGGCTCCAGTTGCTTTTCTGTGCACCTGTGTTTGCCTGTGTGGACACACATATAGGCATACTTTGCACAAAGAAGGTGCCTTATAAGTATGTTGAGTAAGTGAATGTTTTAATACATATAATTTGTATTTTAAAATTTAAGATCATATTATATATACTGTTTTGTGTCCTTATCTCAATTTTTACTTATCCCAGAAAATTCTGAAGATATTTTATTTAAAAATACAGGTTTTGGTAACTTCATAATCATATACATATATATTTACTATAATTTATTTAACCTTTCTCCCATATTAGTTTTATTTTCCATTTTTGCTGTAATAATGTCATATACATTTTTACCATTAAGTTTTATCACAACTACTTTCTTAGCATGTAATAACCCTAGGGGAGGAATTACTAATGTATAGAATCTACATTTAAAAAAATTATTATTTTTGCCAGATTTTTCTTATTTAAAGATGATATTTTTCTGAATTACAAAGTTTAGGTATTTATCTAGAAAATTTGAAAAGCAGAAAACCAAAGTACAGAGAATATTGGTAAAATTTTTTATAATCCTGGCACCTAAAGATGGCTTAATTTAAGGTTTTGATTTATAGAATTTTAGTCTTTTAATTTCCATTACATATTTTACCAAAAAAAAACCATTTTATTTTCTAAACTGCTTTTATTCACTTAGTTGTGTACTGTTAATATAGCCTCCCTCTGTCTTTAAACAATACACTATAATGTAATTCCGTGGTCAGTTATTAAAACAACATTTCTCCCTGGCTGGCGTAGCTCAGTGGATTGAGCGCGGGCTGGGAACCAAAGTGTCCCAGGTTCGATTCCCAGCCAGGGTACATTCCTGAGTTGCAGGCCATAACCCCCAGCAACCGCACATTGATCTCTCTCTCTCTCTGTCTTTCTCTCTCCCACTCCCTCCCTTCCCTCCCTAAAAATAAATAAATAAAAATATTAAAAAACAACAACAACAACAACAACATTTCTATTCAATAAATTCAATTAACCCCCTCTTAGTGGATCTTTAGTTTGTTTCCAGTGTTTCATTATTATAAAGAATTCCAGGATAAAAAATCCTTGTTTTTGTCCCTTGGGCACATTTACTATAATTGTATTAAGACAAATTTCTGGAAGAATTGCTGGCTCCAGGTATATGAATATTTTTTAAGGCTTTTGACATATATTCCATATTGCCTTCTGACAGGTTGTACTAATTGACATTCACACCAAAAGGAGGAAAAGTGAAAGGAGATTATAAAAGAATTTTCAAGTCATTCACCTTAAAATGAACCTAATCATCTTCTAGATGATTAGGAGTAATCATCTAGAAGATAATTTTACTTCTGTGAAAGGAGTAAGAGGGTACCTCTTAGATGTTCCCCAACAGTCTTCTTGGGTGTGGAGTATATTCACAAGCCTGTTCTAAAATAGGACAAGCTGAATGTGGAGTAGTTAGGTGATTTTACTCAATGTTCACAGAGAGTAGGAGAGAAGGCTTTTATTGGTTGCTGGGTCTTCTGATTACCAATTTAATTTTCCTGTTCCTTAGGTTTATCTACAATTAAATTTTATTATTTTTCTATCATTAATTGTTTGAAGAAAACTCATTGTGTGTGTGTGTGTGTGTGTTTTTCCCCCAGTCCCTTCAGCGACTGCACAGGACACGTGGTCTTGGGACCAGTACTTGAAAGAACAGAATGCCAATGCAGCACCCATTGAACTGTTTTCTCAGGTGATCTACTGATGGCCTTATATTTTTGCAATGAGTCAATACTTAGGAGAATTAATTAGTATTACATTGTTTGCCTATAGCAGAGTGCACCAACTTATTCGATTTGTAGTTGCTGGAAAATGACAAAACAAAGCTAATCAAAGTCTTAATGTTTCAGAGTGTGTGCTCCAGAGCTGGACTTCTGGGTTTGAAATCCAGTGCCCTTACCTACTTGCTCCATGTCTTTTGGCATGTCATTCAGTCTCAGTATCTCTGTTCCTCAGTTTCCTTATCCATGCAATAGGGAAAGTACCTACCTTCTTGGGTTGTTGGAAGATTAAAGAATTTGTGCATGTAAAGGACATAGGATGTAACATGTACAAGGTAAACACTCAAAAACTGTTAGTCTTTCTTTTTATTAGCTGATATTACTTGCATATGTCCACCCAAGGATCAGGCATGAGTGATCTGTTTTGATATGTTGCATGGAGGCGGTGGGCCAGGCAGCAAGTTAGAGGAGACGGTGAGACCCCTAAAGCATGTCTTACCTGACTGTAAAGATGCCCAGAGCAGCCTATGTGAACTTGCTTGGCCAACTGACTACTGGCACCAGGGGCTTGCAGCCTCAGGGGATCATCTTCACTCAGACACCAAACCGCCATTGCCCTGTTCTTCTCAGTTTGTGTTTTCAGTACGTCAGGGCCAATTTTTATTTAAAAATCCTGTCATATGTGCATCATTATATTGCATTTTAACTAGCTGAAACTTTCATCTGCTTTACTTTTCATTATATGTGTTGAGTTACTCTAGTACTTTTTATTATGTAAAAGAGCTAATAATTATAATCCTGGATATGGCAATAGAATAGGGAGAAGAGGGAGCACAAACAGGGAAAGAGAAACCAAGTGCTGGCACCCCACATTTAAGAAATACTGAGTATTCTCTTATTTGTACTCAACCCATTCTTCACATCAGATATTTGTGTGGAACTTTGGAAAATACAGATGTGTGGATATTTCTGAGACCTACTACATAGGAACCTCAGGGGTGGAGCCTGGAAATCTCTAGCTTGAGAACCTACTCAGGGCTTCTGTAAGTAGCATAGAGGTCCATTGTGGTAGATGGTTTTAAGAGGTGTGCAGATTCTGCTTGAGTCAGGTTCCTGCTACTCCACCTTGCAGTCACTTGATAAGACTTAGGTATGTTTTTTCCATCAAAAGTATGAGAGTTCCAGAGGTAAGTAATCTCTTCTTTCTTTTCTGTCATGTTTCCTCAGCATCTACTCTGTTCAGTGAGCTCACATAGTCAATGTTGAATGACTTCTGTGAAACCTCTGAGGGTCCCCACAGGGTGTTTGCAGTGACTGGAACTGTGCAGTGTAACTTGTGGCCACCCTTTCCCCCTCTCCCTAAGCCCATCCCAGGCCCTTGCTGCAGCAGTCACTGCTGATCTGGAGGGTAGAGCAGGCTGAACCAGGAGCTGGCCAAAGCTCGTCAGGTGCCGTGACCTCTGAAGGTAGATGTAGCTCAGCCAGGGTCTAAGATGCTAAGTTCACCCAGAAGACACAGGCCAGGTTTGGGTGGAATCACTCACTGTCCAGGGTCTCAAGGCAGCCAGAAGCCATGTAGGAACAGTCAGTGACTTTAGTTAGAACTTAATGAAACAAAATTGATCATGAATGATGTAGTGTCTCAGGAATTAGGCCTGTGCTATGTCCTCAGATCAGGATCCTAGGACACAGATCATCTCTTTCCTCCAACAAGGATTGAATCTGGCATTTGGGTGTTGGGAGTCAAGTTTGTTTTAATCTCCAGAGCAAGACAAGTTTGCCTGATGTCAACAAAGTGTTAGATTCTCTGACTAGCTCCTGCATTCTCCCTCTCTTCTCAGCCAGTCAGTGTGTTAACATTATTTTTCAGATTTTCTCCTTTTAAGTCCTTCAAGGTTCATCAACTAGTATAAGAATACCTGCAGAAGAGAGAATTTCTCCCCCAGAGTATTTCTTGTGACCAGATGTTATCTAAAAAACCAACACAGGGCAAATGTTGAATATCTGTTCCCAAAATAAGTATTTATGGCAATATTGGGTGCTCTGTATTAATTAGCTGTGGGTCATATAACTTTTCTCTGTAGGTTTTATAGAGCTCTCACAAGAGTGCTGAAAAGTGCTAAGTGAGAGGACAGTCTTGGAACATGTAGATAGGAATAGGTTCTCTCTGGATAGGAGTTGGTTCTCTGTGAGACTGCTCATTGAGTGGAGATGAGTGGTGAGTAGGGGATGCGGTCTTTGATGATTCCTTGGCTAATAATTTTACTTAAAATATGGCTTTCTCATGCCTTTGAACTCTGCCAACTCTGAAGGTGACTGTTAGTACATGAGAAAGCAGGAATGTCAGATATGTTGGGGTGCCTTTCTCTTTACTCATAATTTAACAGTCCAGCTATTCCTGTTTGTTAAGGCTCTCTGTGTGCAAAGCATCATGTAAGCCCTAGACTAAAACACTAAGGCATTTATGACATGGTTTCTCAAAATCTTACCATCTATGTTCGGGTATAAGACATGCCTATAAAGCATGATAACAATATGAGATAGAATGTTAATAGTCAGTGGAATGGACACTTAATGATTGAGTTTATTAGGTATTCCATGCTGAGAGGACCTCACTCCACCCCGAATGAGAAGAATGAAGGCACCGATTATTAGGTCTAGTTTATCCTGATGATCTAAGAAGATGCTTGTGTTCCAGTACAGTATTAATCTAACTCAACATTTTTATTCTAAGATGAAGTAAGCATGGTTTATAATTGAAAATAGGTTTCAGTGGAATCCAAAAGCAGATGCCAGCCTTCCATGCAGCATCAGACTGAACTCAGTTTTGTACTGACATTGTGCTCTTAACTATTAATGTTCATTTTCATTGTGTAAATAGTATAATATGGTGTTGAGGTCAGCCAGCTGAGATGGAACTCTTCATCTTTGGACACCAAAATGTTGAAAATAACACTTAAAAAAGTTTGCATATCCCAAATGGAAAACTATCAAAAGACATTAAAATATTGCTTTACTTTTATTTATACTTTCCACACTAATATTGAAGTTTTAGAAGATGACACTCAGACACACACATGCCCACATGATCAATTTCAGCATGGAAATCAGATACCTCTTCTGTCAAGAAAATGTGTGTATTTTTTTAGGAGAGTACTTTTATTTATAGTACTATTTATTACCATCTGGGATAATGAATATACAAGGATATTGCAGGATATACCTTTTGTTGACAGAAAATTTAAAAACATTTTCTTTTCATTACCAGTGAAATGTGCCTATCTTGATTTGGTTTAAACTTTGAAATAATTTTTCTTTTATTTTGAGATTGATATTAAAGTGTCTTCTTATCTCTCCCTGCCCATCATCTGACCATACCATGTAATTTCCTAAGGCATTCTTTTCACCCTGTTGCCCATGACATCAAGTCCAAATATGGCAGCCTGGACCCAAAGGCCTGGGTCTAGCTCCATCTCCAGATGGGCATCATCACAGAGCTGCTTCTGCCTGTTGGGATCATCCGTGCACTGGTTCTCACTTGCCATTGCCTCCACTTGATGTTTCAATTTATCCATGTTCGAAGGCCTCTGTGTCTCCTCTTGCTCTCTAAACCTCAGGGTTCCATGTCCCCCTTAATATACACCCCTTTCCTGTACCTGATGTACCTGTCCCAGCCTACCTTTTCTGGCACAGTGAAATGGACTTGCCAGGCAGCCACCATCTGCCTAACTCACATCTGCAGGAGAATAGGGAACAGTAGAGGAGTCTCATGAGGACCAGACGCTTACCCCTAGTGTCACCTGGAAGTTTGCAGACCCAGACCTTCACCTGTACCAGTCCCAACACTCTGGGATGAATCACATCTGTGGTGTTGTCAGGCCTCTGACAGAGGGAGCACAGCTTGCCCTAGCTCAAAACTGTTCTGGTGACAGCAAGTCCCTGCAGCCTCACATCCCTGTTGTCCTTAGTCACTGTCCCGGAAAGCCCTGCTTTTTGTCCCTGGCAGGTGTTCCTCTGTACCCAGCCAGTGCTGGGTTGCAGAGTAGATATGCTAAACATGTGTTTAGGCCCCTGCAAAGCAGGGACACTTCTATTTTTTAAAAATAATTTGGTATTTCAGAACAAAATAAAAGTTATCATGAGAAAAGTTGAAACTTTCTTGGATTTCTTCATATATCTTTTATGGTTTAGTAATATAGTTTTAATTTGGATTCCATATAGATGAAGTGTTACATTAATTTCCATTTGCTGCTATAACAAATTACCACAAACTTAGTGGCCTAAAGCCACACAAACCTATTATTAAAGTTCAGAAAGTGAGAAGTCGAAAATGGGTCAGCAAGGCTACATTCCTTCTGCCAGCTGTAGGGAAGAAGCTTTCCTCATTGTGTCTAGCTTCTAGGGGCCTTCTTTGGCCTGTCGCTCCACATCCCTTCAATCTCACTTTTTATTGTCACATCTCTGTTTCTGCTCCTTTTGCCTCCCTCTTATAAGGACTCTTGTGGTGACATTGGATACACCTAGATATTCCAGGGTAATCTCCCATCTCAAGATTTTTCACTTAATCACATCTGCAAAATTGTCTTTGCTGTGGGAGATACAGTACTCACAGGCTCAGGGCTTAGGATGTGGACTTCTCACCATGAGATACAATATTCACAGGCTTAGGCATCAGCACGTGGACCTTTGTCATGTGAGAGAGAATATTCACAGGCTCTGGGATCAGGACGTGGGTGTCTTTGAGTACCCCTGTTCTGCGTACCCACAAATGCTGCCCCCTTCCATTGGTGGTCCCGGTCTGGCCCTGCCCTTGGTTTGAGTGACTTCTCATGGGATGTCTTCCTCCTAGCATTCCCCTGTGGTAAAAAAAAAAAATGCAATACCCTCAACAGCTCAATATATCGGTCCCTTTTTGTCTCCAGTCAGAATGCATACCTGCTCCTCCCACCCAGCTGCTTGGCTTCTGCTTCCT